GCTCTTTCTGGCTCGAGGGCTCTGATTGGGAATGGTATGCGAAGTTACCCCACGCTTTTAGTATATAGATTTCTACGCTAGTGAGTGGTTTACCCTCGAAACTGAATTACTTTTCCACTTTCACTCTTCTTCTCTACGGATTTTAGAAAACAGAACCTGATTGCAACTTTTTCGTCCTATGCTTTTTGCATTCTAGTTCAATAGTTTCTTTTTGATTTACAGATCAAACAAAAGAAAAAACATTACAGAAACTCAAACAAAAGAAAAAACACGCAACGTTGCTTCGTATTCTTTTCTTCAAACCATGACTACATCCCCTTTGCTTTTGCTACTACTACCACTAGTCTAGCTCTTGTTTATTTGCAACCCGTTTTCATAGTCTTTTGACCGGATTTTACTTGATAGGGAGTCTTTCTTTTGCAGGAACTGGGATTGCACTAGCTGGTGTCTTGGGTCAAGAAGGTATCTGGTATCGTGAAAGTAGGGCTGGTTTTAGATAAGTTTGATACTCCAATCCCCTATTATGACCTTATTGACACGGCACGGGACGAGCCCATTCCTGACAAGTGATTTAGAAAGGAGTGAACGAACTACAGAATGTAGCGAGCCGCCCGCGCCTTGGTGACCTAACCACTTGAAAAGCAACAATCTTTTCTTTGACTTAGTCACAAGACGAGTAAGTACCATTCGAAACCAGAGCCGCCTGCACTTCTTAGCTTGTTCCGCCGCAGAAAAGGCTACTGTCCCATGCAAAGAAATATATATCGATATCGGCAATGCTTCAAGAACTCAACATACATGCGCCATAGTGCCAATGATCTCCTTTACCAACTGTTCTGCCCGTTGCTAGTGTTAAGCTTCCACATTCACTCCCAGGCCGCTGATGAGACCGTCACTTTTCTATTCAATTACCTAGAAAGAAGGCGCGTGCGTCAATGTTTTGATTGAGTGAATGATCCATCAATAAGATCAAGCTGGAAGGTCTGTCTTGAGTTCAGTTTCTGTCAACGATGAAAGAAAGTAAATGAAGTATATTCTCAAATCAAGTCAACAAGTCAATATGTATGTGTCTCTATTCTAAGAAAAAGAAGAAGGCACCACCACCGAGAACTGACTACACAACCGAGAAGCGTGTCAGCCTTCCTTATTCAATCAACTCTAATTTAGTACTAGTACGATCAAGAAAAGTAAGAAGTTGAACCAGAGTCACTATTATTATTAGTAGTATAGTCAGTTGTATATGTACCTGCACGAATCTTTCAAGTAAGCTCTTTCTAGTTCGCCAGCAAGGCATTTTCCGAAGCAGGCAGGGCTAGAGCGAGGGAATTGGCCAATGCTAAGTGATCTCCTCGCCCAAAGAAAAAGGGGGTGTCTCGGGTGGGGAAGAAGGATACAATAACGTGGCATCAGCAATGTTCAGGTTCGCTACATCTGGGAATTTCACTTCCCATTTGGCTGGTGAGAACGCTGGCGTAATTTCCAGGGCTAGATCCGGAAGAATCCTGGGTAATGGTAAATACGGAGAACATGAATTCCCTTAGCGCGTTGGATCATCGAATAATGGATAAATTCCTATCTCTGGTAAGACCACCCATGAGGGTTCATCAACTCATTTCTCGGTCAGATATTGCAAAAGTACAATTGGAACTTGTCACCAGCCTCATCTGGTGAGGGATCAGCTGTATCGGCTTTCCCTAGTGATAAGGTCTGCGAGGTTGTGGAGAAGATGAAGTTGATGCAATGCAAGCAAGGAGCCAGCAGTACCTCATCAGATCACACGAAAGGTATTGGAATTGTGCAATTGCTTAGGGGCAAGAACTTTCTGATAACTGGTGCAACTGGTTTTCTTGTAAAAGGTGACAGCTTCTCTGAATCTTAGCATTTGATTTTGTTCTCCCATCAGTGTGTGCTATCATTATATGGAATTCCCTGTCCTTTTCTTCGCCAGTTCTTCTGGATCCAATTTTAAGGACAAATCCTGATGTTGGTAAAATATACGTGTTGATCAAGGCCAAGGACAATGAAGCAGCCATGAAAAGATTGAAGAACGAGGTATGATGATTACTTCAGACTACTTTCTGTTCTTCATGCAAATGACCATATTTTCCGTCTGCAATACAGGTAGAAGATACTGAGTTGTTCAGATGTTTACAGGAAATCCATGGGAAAAACTACCACAGCTTTGTATCAAGCAAGCAGGTTCCAGTCGTTGGTAATGTCAGGGAAGCCAACATTGGCATTGCTCCTGAGTTAGCCAAAGAGATCGCGGAAGAAGTGGATGTTATCGTAAACTCTGCAGCAAATACCACTTTTGATGAGAGGTTCGTGAAGCTATACTAGTCTTGCACCAAGGATTGTTTCCATTACTAAATGTGTAAGTTCACATTCCATAGCAATAAAAGTATTGAAACTTGCAGGTATGATGTAGCACTAGACATCAACACCGTGGGGCCATTCCGGATAATGAGTTTCGCGCAGCGGTTTCGAAGACTGAAGCTCTTCTTGCAAGTATCAACAGGTCAGAATGCCAAATAAGAGTTTCTTGTGGTCGAAATCAAATGGTAACCAGTTTCTATTAATCTCAAAAGCTTACAAGCTTTAGCTGTATGTTTGCATGTCATGTTTTTGGCCAAACAGCATATGTAATGGGCAGAGGCAAGGTTTGATACTAGAGAAGCCATTTTGCTTAGGGGATACCATAACAAAGGGGATAGGTTCCTCAGATTTTTCGGCACATCAGAATACCGTGTTGGATATCGAGGGGGGATGATGATGACTTCCATCTTTCTATGGATTTTCGATCATTATAAATCGAAAGATCAGGTCAAAGCCTTCCAAAGGTCCGCTATTGGTCAGTTTTTTTCGGAGCAAGGGGTTTGAACCCGAACTCTGCGCGCCTTCTTCTTCTTCATGTTGAACGAATTTTGGCGATCGAAGCAAAGACCTAATGTTTCAACTACACCCGTCAGTCAAATGTTTTTTCATCAAAGTAAGCGGGGCTTTTTCGCTCTATCCCATCTCTTTGGGGGTAGGTGGTAGGTTCCACGTCATCGCGGCAGCTCTCAGGGCGGGCATTGCTTGGTTCCAGAAAGGGCTTTTAGCTCGTTCTTGCATTTTTCTTCCAAAAAATCACTTATTTCTGATTCATTCTAGCATTATCATCTACCAGTTCATATTGGCTCATTCAAGAAGAGGGTCTCAAGGTAATTAGAGACTGTTGAAAGCCAAAAACTATGCGTTCAAAGTGGAAAAGAAAGAAGACTGCCGTTGCAAGAGCCATTGATTCAACACTCCGGCCGGGGGAAGGGAAGATCATGGTACATAGCTCTGAACAAACAAAGCTAATACGACGCCTGACGGAACTCTTCTTTATTTTATAAATTTGCATTAGAGCCAGTTGAAAAACGAAGAACCTTTTTTTGTTGTTACAGTTCCTTAAGCATAACCAGTTACGACCACTGATCTATATATATCCAGCCGATACGAGGGTGACTGTCTGACTACCTAAAGTTGCATATCCAAGTATAGATCCCTAGAGAAGAGAAGCAAAGGTATAAGCCAAGACCTGTAAAGCCACACACACCAGAAGTCGATCCAGCTTTTGATATAGGCTACGCAATTGAGGATGTTATTGCACCACCACTAGTTGACCACCAATAGCAGTTGTGAAACTAGTAGCTCTAGATTGATAGAGCCGGACTTGCTTCATTAGTTACATATCCTGTTCCTGAAAGAACTCCAGAAGGTGAAGATCCAGCAGGAGGTGGTAGCCATTCTTATTGAGAAAGATAAAGAAAGCAAGCTGTGTTCCCAACAGCGAAGGCAAGGAACTTCTGTATGAGAAACATTTCCTGGGCGGGCGGAGATCTTGATTGACCAGAAAAGAAGCAAGTCTATGTCACAAGCAGGGTTTGATGGCACCCGCTACTCTTCCCGAAGAGCTTCTATTCCAATAGCGGATTGTTTCATTCCAATCTTCGAGAGAATGCGAGCGAATTCAAGAGCATGGAAGCTACAGAAGATTTTTCCGTAAAGGATTTCTATTTCAAGAGAGCAGATCTTTTACATAGTTTTCTCGGTTCTCAGGTTAGTGACTTCCTTCCCAGTCATAGATGGTCGACAGATCTTTTGGATTGGTGGTTTTAAGAGAAGTCCCAGCCGTACGCACTAGAATAACCTTGAACTACTTGAACGACAACAGATGCGGATGAACTCGCTTAGCTGCTCGCTCGGTGAAAGGCTTTCCTGGAAGAAAGTTGAAGACGACTTCTAAGGAACGTATCTCTCATCTTCCTTCTCACCTGGCAGAGGACGGGGATGAACTCCAAGGCCACTGGTCTGGAAAAAGAGCTAACTTTCTGATTACTGCTAAAAAGCAAAAAAACCAGTTGGGTGATTCTTTAAAGAGCCTAAATCGAATCTGTACTATTGGTACAGAGCCATAAAGAATGGTCGTAACCGGACCAGATAGATCCATCATCTTCGAGGAGGAGGAAACATAAGTCCAATACGCGTTATGGAAGACTAGGGATTGCTAATCCGCCCACGCGGGAAGCCTTCTCCCTCTCAGACTCAAGAGTCAAGACCCTAAACAAGAAGCAGCTTGTTCTTTCGCGCTAGTGCGCTCAATCCGTTGCTTGTTCCTTTCCTTTGGATTTATTATCATAGGTAGTGTTCGAGATCGCCTCTGTGCGGTGAACGCTCGAATGTAGCTAACATCAGTTTTGTCCTCGCGTGGTTGAAGGAGATGCTGCTGCTGGATGGAATGCTTCCGTTCCGGGGCGCCATGATCCTTCTATCAGGAATAATCGAGGGCACTGACTGACTGCATCAATCATCGCTCAGTGAGCTATTAATTGCCGCCAATAGCGCTTCGCTTGCATGCAAGGCGGCTAATAAAAGCGCCAGGTAGACGCGCGGAGATGCATTTTGAGTACTGGTGGTACTGGACAAGCTCTAGGGGAATAATCTCTTTCTTATTTCTTTCTTATTTCTTTCCCATGACGACTAGGAACGGGCAAATCAAGAATTTCACTTCGAATTCCGGACCTCAACATCCTGCTGCTCATGGTGTTTCACGATCAGTATTGGAAATGAACGGAGAAGTGGTGGAACGTGCGGAACCACATATTGGATCACTCCAGTGCGGCACGAAGCCGCTGACGCTGAGTAGGCTCCTATGCCGCTAGCACGGTGGAGGTTCCGTAGCGCGTCATGAGCACCGGGCAAAGGGACGGTTGAGCGACTCAAGCGAACCGCCCTACCTGACTTTGGATAAAGATAGAAGGGAGAAGGTTGTGAAGGTGGCCTCGTTATCCACACATCTGGTCGGAGGACCAACCTGGGTTTTCACGAGCGTAGGCGGATCCTGGAGTGCCCGTCAAGGGCGCTAGCGCATACCCCGGGGTGATCATCACCACCTGCACCTCACATCTCGGCACAGTGGAACGTGTAACCCGCCTGCTGTCCAAGTCAACCACTTAATTTCCTGTAATTCATAGCGCCTAACAGAACGTAGCAGCAAGGGACAACCCACCCATACAGACAGCCTGCGGGGAGGATGGCACTACTGGCAAAGACCGTCTGGCGAAAACGCCGCAGGCGCGAAGCGTGGTGGGCCTGCGCCGGGGGAGCATAGGGAGGAAAGGGAGCCCGGACGGTGGAAGAGCCAGGGGAAGCCGGGTCATTTGACGGAAATGGAAGGTCCGAGCGGCTCATTCATTCTTGGAAAAAGAGGGGGGGGGCGAGCCAATGTATCAATGAATAGATACAGTCAACGGTAGACAGACAGCGCCACCTACACGCGAATTAGCTTCCGAGGTCGAGCAGTCTCAATTTCACTACAGGATTTGCGAATGAATGCTAGGCTGGGCCACCTCAAATGGCGTGAGCCGCATGCGGGGAGACCCGCACGTACGGTTTTCAGGGGGATCCGGCCGGCCGGCGCCCACCCGACTAGAGGGACTGAGAAATTAATCGAGTACAAAACTTATCTTCAAGCTTTACCTTATTTTGATCGTTCAGAGGGCGATCGCGGAGTCACTGAATGAAGTCCTCCCTCCCTTTCTTTCGGAGGTGCTGACCCGCTGCAAGGCAGATATGACTAAGTGACATATTGAATATGGCGACGACTACAGCATGTCGTAGAAGGAGATAAGAGGTGGAGCCAACGACCCACTAAGACTCACGTATCTACAACTACATTCCCGAGCGGCAGTCAAACGGAGGCGTGAATGCAAGATGCCAGCGGAATGATCGACCGGACAGAGGCTAGGGCAGCTTTCTTCCCACCGCGTCCTTCCTTGTGTGTCGGAGATACAAAGCGAGTGCACCGGAAAAGAAGGGGAACTGAGTCGATCTATTCCATGGCGAAGCATCCGAAGCATAACTGCACACTCACACGATCTTTGCCGAGAGATAGGAGCATTCGGTGGAACCGGTGAACTACACTTGCTTCTTGATAGATGTGTGGGACAGAGGGCTCGTGGTACCTGCTGCCCACCCTTCCTCCGCTTTGATAACCGTGTGAACGGAGAGTGGGCAGAGCAAAAGGGAAGGAGGTCCTCATACGGAGTCGCACACTTGAGCAGTGCGGGAGACTGGAGAATGGGTCGAGTAAACTCCCTTAGGGCCGATTAAATCACAGACGAGGAACTTTTCTTGATTTTTGCTTTTTGATTTGAAGGGTATGTTCTAAAAAAAGAAAGGCAGAGGTAAATACTTCGAAGAGGCGGCTCGGTAGGGATGGAATGGTCAATCGTCAAGTCAAGGATGACTTCTTTGTTGGCGAAACGATGGGGGGGAGAAAGCACGCCAGTGATTCTCCGAGCCGGTCTTCATTTCCAACGCCTCGGGAAACAGGTCGAGATAGATGACAGCACCTTTTTATCCTCTTCCTTACCGGGAAGGCGCACTTCTCTTCTTCTTCTGGCCTTCACCTCCTGCCCGGCCCGGAAATAGAACCCCTTTCTGATCCATTCATTTCTGCAAGCAGGCGGGATCCAGAGCTAAGCCCCCTCCTATTCGAAGCCGGGTGTGGCCTCGCCCTTTTGCTCTTCCTTCGGTTTGGCTCCACGAAGGCGCCGCCTAGACTAGGAGCCCCACTCATATTCAAAAGGCGCCCAGCTTTAAAGACGATGATAATAAGTAGTTAGGCTGCCATTTTTCCAATATCATGGAATAGCATGGCCCGGGGCTAAGGTAACTCCAGTGGGAGAGCCGTGTTATGGGTGACCTTATTGCACGGTTCAGAGAGCACTTGTGTATGTGATGCAAGTGAACGTGTACGAAAAAGCTGTCGTAAAGTTTCGTTGTTCGTTCCGTAGTTGACCCTATCTATGTTTCTACGATGGCCCAAGAACACGCTCATTCTTCAGCCGTAGAGAGACTTTTGAATTGTGAGGTACCATTACGAGCTCAATATATACGAGTGTTATTCTGTGAAATAACTCGAATTTCAAATCATTCACTTGCTTCAACTACTCATGCTATGGATGTGGGAGCATCAACTCCGTTCCTTTGGGCTTTTGAGGAGCGGGAGAAATTGTTGGAATTCTATGAAAGAGTCCCGGGAGCCAGGATGCATGCCAGTTTCATACGACCTGGTGGAGTGGCACAAGATCTGCCTCTTGGCTTATGTCGAGATATTGATTCCTCCACACAACAATTTGCTTCTCGTATCGACGAATTAGAAGAGATGTCAACCGGCAACCGTATCTGGAAACAACGATTAGTGGATATTGGTACTGTCACTGCACAGCAAGCAAAGGATTGGGGATTCAGTGGTGTAATGTTAAGAGGTCGTGCGACATGAAGACATTGATAGCAATATGGGGGAAGTTCCCATCAGGCAACAACGGTTCTGCCTGACCCTACAAAAGCATGCATATGTTGTCAGTGAAGATTTTGTGTGAAGCCTTGGAGACGACGTACCCGGGGCTGGGGTGAGCTGAGGGGGGACAGCGTAAGTGAGCGAATGTGCGTAAGCCCAGTCAAAGATTCCTATTCTAGGCGGGGCGGGCCATCAACCTTCGAATGGTGTTGGTCCTACGGACCGTGAACGGATTCGCCTCTGGCCTCTGGGCACGTCGGAACCGCATGAGTTCACCGGGGTGGAGCACGGTCCGCCAAAATCGGCATAGGTTAGGTGCTATTGATGGAACATGGTAAGCCCATCTTTCCCCATATGAAAGTGCTGCGGGCACATAGAGATGTGGGTAGAGGAAGTCTCAAAAAGCGAAGGCCGAGCTGTAGGTCACGTGACCTGCACCGAAAAGGTGGCTGACTGGGCTTTCTCCTGGATCAAAGCAGATCAGCTCGCCAAATTCGTCGATCGAATCCCCGGAACGTCGAATGAAAATACGTGGTCTTTCTACAACCCTATTTATATGATAGGCCCGGCCCCTTTCCCCCTATCCCTCCCTTATGTTTAGGAGCGGGATCTGCCCAAGAACGACCTGTGGTGGTACGGAAGGCACGGACTCCGCAAGCGTCCCGCACCCTCTGAGAAAGAAACTCCTCAACCATTACAAGATAAAGAAGTATGACGCTCTGTGTCTGACTCTATTGGTCATAGTTCCTTGCTGTTGCGGCCGGTGCTCGTTTGCGCGCGTGTGAACCACCAGATCATAAGGAAAGATGCCTCTCGTGGCATCTGAGAATGATTCGAGCCGTATGAAGGGAAACTCCCACGTACAGTTTGTTTTGGGGGGGAAGGAGCCCGATAGGGTCCCCCCACTGACTTGGCCCGGGCCTAAGTGAAAGTGAAAAAGTGAAGTGGTGGGCCTACCCATCCCAACCTGGGGTATGCTGGGATTCGCGAAGAGCAGCACCTTACGATGTTCATGACCAATCGGATCTTGACGTACCAGTAGGTACCAGAGGAGATCGCTATGATCGTTACTGTATCCGTATCGAAGAGATGCGACAAAGTGTTCGGATCATTGTGCAATGTCCTAATCAAATGCCTAGTGGCATGATCAAAGCCGATGATCGTAAGCTATGTCCTCCATCACGATCTCGAATGAAACTATCCATGGAATCGTGCGCCGTGTGAAACGTAGATCATCGCCGTTCTTAACCGAGACTCAGGTTAAGCTCCGTCTCGGAACCGTCGTGGGGTTAGGAGTAAAGCATCCCGAGGTTGGCGCATCTCGTTGGGCGTGGAGAAGCATTGGGAACCCCAATATCTTTCTTCGGAGCAGTTTCTTTTCCCGTCCCCTCGCCCCGGCATAGCGCTTCGCTTCCGGTTCTTCGGAAGAATCAACTGACTTCTCCCTTCTTCATTGCTCCGGGGGAAAGGGAACCGTCTACCAGTTGGGAAGCTAGACATCAAGGTTGTGGCTTGATGAGGATAACTAAGCTGACACGCCGGAGTTGGCTGCTGGCACAACAGGGTGGTGCCTTACCGCACCGCAGGCGCACGCGCGGTAGCGTTCGTGGTGGTGCTTCAGGATTCCAATGTACTGCGTCCAAGATCAGAACGAGCTTGCCGGCGGACCACTGCCGTCCCATTCTTTAGTGAGCTGGAGCGCTGCCATCTTATCCACGGAAAACGCGTCAAGCTATCGCTTCGGGTCGAAGCACTAAAAGAAAAGGACCGGGAAACGCGGCGGCATAGGAACCACGGGAACCCAGGAGGGAGAAAGACGATGTACGGGATACGGGATCCTCGTAGTAGGCTGGACCAAAATCCAGCCGAGAGAGGGCAGCCTTTAGAAGCAACAGGTGGGGAAACCAAGAGAAGGCTTCGCCTTTTCTTATCTTCTTCCCGGCACAAAAAGAGGGATTAGTATTATTGACCCCATGAGAAAGCACTAACACCTTCCTCGTTGGGGCTCCGCGCACTGGGTCCGCGACAGGAAACCGGCTACTAGTTAGGAAGTGAACATAAGGTATCAAGAGGTCCCTCACAGTCAGGTGCGATGCAATTGCCCCCTATTAGTCAAGTACCCCTCTTCCTATTTTGTTTAGGGGTTAAGGCGAGAAATGGCTTGATGAACCCTTCCGTTCACCACGCACCGGCCCCATTCACTTGCAACTCGTAGAGGCTGTAAGTAAACAGTGCCCCACTAAATTCAAAGTGACGGTGGGGTTGAAAGACGAGAGTGCCTACCTCCGAGCCGAGAGTGCCCGCCCTTTCTGTCAAGTAGGCTACTTTTTCCGGAACGCAGTCCGGAATAAGCGTTCCTGTGTATATAGATATCTTCGATGCTGTCATTTCGAAATGTCCGCTTCAACCCCTCTTTCACCTCCCAAAAAGCTAAGTTGGCTTGACGAGCGCAGATGAGGAGCAATAAAACCAAGAATCTCTTTCTTTTCCAAATACTTTATTAAGTTAAGGGGCAAAGAGAAGCGCTTTTGCTACTGAGAAAGTGAATGGTCAGCGCGAGGGTTCGACGACTTAGCCGAGCGTTAGCGAAGCGTCATTCTCATAGCGAGGCGCTTCGAGTTAGCGAAGCGCTGTAGTAGCGTCGGAGACTATGTGCTATAATGCTGAACTAAGGACGTTCCGCCTTATCTATAGAAGCAGTCAACTGAGTTCTGAACGAATGGGATCCTTGGTGGGTAATGGCTCAATCAATCTATAGATGGAAAGCCTTATGATGGGAAACTACCACGTTAGGTTTGGAGAGAGATGGGACCTGTTATAGTTTAAGGGGAGCAGATGCAAGCTTTTTCTTTCCATAGCCGGCCAAATGACTACCGGATCATCGGTCTACTCTACCTCAATTCACCATTTCGAACTTTATACAGAAGGTTTTTCCGTACCAGCTCCTTCTACCTATACCGCAGTTGAAGCACCTAAAGGTGAATTTGGTGTCTTTCTTGTCAGTAATGGGAGTAATCGTCCCTACCGTTGTAAAATAAGAGCACCTGGCTTTGCCCATTCACAAGGACTCGATTCTATGTCCAAACATCACATGCCAGCAGATGTAGTCACCATCATAGGTACTCAAGATATTGTGTTTGGAGAGGTAGATAGATAGGACGTAGTCTTGCTCGATCAGGACCCTAGCTTTATTGCGAGCCAAAACAGCCTGAAAGAAAGCAAGTGTGCCATGTAAAGCCATGCCTGAGTTTCAGCCTTTCAGGTGATAGAAGGGCCATCCACTTCAACTCTCGCCCTCCCTTTTAGGCATTTTTTTACAGAGGCGTGGAATTGGCAAAAGAAAAAACTACAATTTGGTAATAAAATCTACATGGTTAGAATTGCCATAACGACTATATTGAGGAGTTTCTGAAACGAGAATTCTCATAGATGATACGAAAAGCAATGTACTAAAAGCAGGAAAGTAGCAGTTCTGGGAAAGTGAGAAAGCAAAGAGAGGCACGTTTGTTAACAAAGCGGAACCAAAGACTTCTGCCTACAGCCAAACAAAACTTGCAACTATATTCAATAATGCCTGAAATGCTAGTAAACCAAACCGCTCCAGATGGGCTTCCTACCGGCAGATGTTATACCTTCCCGCTATCTAACGTGTACGGCCCCATAGATAGATGATGCCAAAAAACCGGACTTATTACAAGAGCTTATGCTCCTTCCACCTCGTTCTTGATGTAATTGCACCCTCTGTGTGCCTTTCCTCTGCTGGTCAAAAAGTGGAGAGATTGCGTCAACGTGGATTTTTAGTTTATCTTGGGAGTGTTCTTCCAGCTTGTCCTCTTCCCTACGGTTTTCTTGCATGCAGTCTCTGGGAGGACTAAGGAAAGATCCTAGTACTCCAGGTAGGGCTCTAGAGAAGATTCCCTGAAAGAGCTAAGATAACTAAATTGATTTACGCTTTCCTCTTTCTTTTTTTTTTCATATATAGAATTGGAACGATTTCCTTGCCTGTGATGGGCCGCAAACGTAAGTTGGTTGTTAGCGCCAACTGAACTGCGTAACCAAAGCGATTCCCCTTATTGGAAGATAGGGTTAACCTATGTCGGTTCGACTCCGGCGAGTCGCCCCCCATTATTAGTTCGGCGTGCTGTCAGTTCCACGGGCCTAATATATGATATTTAGCATATACGAGTGCTGCTACAACCTCCTCTTCTATTCAATTGTATCTTTATACCTATCCTTCGATAAGGGGTAGGTAATTAGAGGGGAGAATGTTATTAAACATAGGAAAAAGTTTACACTAAACGATACTCAACGTATGCGGAAGATCGAGCTCTCCCGGTAGAGAACGCCGCAAGAGATAGCTAACTAAACTCACTTATAGGGATTGGTTTAATCCAAGTATAGGTTGATACACACTCTTTGAACAAAAGAGAGCGAGGGTTTAAACACGTATCACGAACGTTATGATCCGATAGTATAGGTTGAGGAGTAAGTAGGTTACTAAGGATAAGTAAATCAAAGACGATATCTTTTCTTAAGCCTTCCCATTTCTTCCTTGTTGGAGTGTATAAACTACTCTGTTTTTGACAGTGTGATTCACGGCCTACCCTAGAGGTTGTATTAAACCCGGGCTGCCTAACAGCCTGCTCCTCTTTCCCAGAGGAGGGGACGGATAGGCTTGAGTTTGACTTCTTTCCCCCTCTTAGAAATTCCTGAAGAGTGCTTCAAGCTAGAGAGTAAGTTGGGATTCTTACTTATTCAGTAAGTTGAATACAGGCCTAAAAGATACATATGGAGGTACAAAAGAGCATCATTGGAAAGTTAATACGTGAACAACCCCTTGGCGGTACCAGAAACAGAACCCTTTGGAAAAAAAGTATGTGAGATACTCAGATCTGAAGGAAAACACTATCCACGGATAGATAATCCGGTATAGCATCACACCTATTACAGGTGAAAGGTAAGAATAGCAAGGAGGGAAAGCCGTGAGGAATGAAACAGTTCATTTCCCTTATTTACCCGGATAAATACTTTAAGACAAACCCGAATACAGAATTCCCTAATTGGTAAGGGATCAGATGCTAGGATTAACCTGTTGGAGAAAGACAAAGAGAATGGAATGAGTAGTATAGAAAAGGGGAAAATGAATCAGCATTCCCAAAACAAAAGTAAGATAGGGTTGGCAATTCCACTACTTCAAAAGGTTTGTGCCTTCCTCGGTAAGAGAATTCTCAAAAGCTATGAACCGGTATAGGTAGGATAGGGTAGTATTGTTGGGATAAAACCAAGGAATCCATCATCAGGGAATGTAACCCCCTCCTTGGAATCGTAATTCGCGAAAGACCTCGCGCCAGTCAAAGCTCTATTCCCTTTCATCCTGCCCGGAACAGAGTGTAGGCGAGCCCGGATTCAAAGTAAGATGGTCGAAAGGAAAGGAAGAATAAGAAAAGGAAAAAGCAATTTCGAGAGCTATTCTCTTTTCTATTCAGTTCGGAAAAGAACAAAGATAAGAGAGGAAATGATACTCCACTCACTAGACAATAAGGTCTTACCTCGAAGTGAAATGAAAGCCAATAAGAAATAAAGAGTTCTTTTAGACGCCTTCGACTGTCGGGTTCTAGCTAATGGAATGCAAGCACTTTCGTTTTTGTTTCTAGCCCGGAGAGAGAGGCCTCCGCTTTTATCGCATTGAGTGGAAATTGGGGTTCACGCACGATTTTAAACCACCCTTGTTCACGGCATTCTACTTTTCTGGCAGCTTTGCTCTCTTTCTGAAAAAACAGACACCTTTCTTTATACGACGATAGGAAGAGCACAATGCACGCTTTCTACGATGAATGAGCTCGAGAGTTATGGAAAACGAAACTCTATCAATCACCTAACAAAGAAAGCAGTCATACACTTCCACTAACTTTCATGACCGGTTGGAACGAGATTTTCTGACTATGCAGATCCGGAACGAACTGTCCAACTCACAATTGAACATGATGCCCCAAATCAATCTTGGCCCAGGAGAACTAGTAGCGGAGCGAAGGAAAGACCTCACATTACGTACGCCAGAAGAAGCTTGTGAACGCGATATCAAGTGAATACCGCCCATGGCCAGGAATTCCTGAACAAGGAAGGATACCCAGATTAGGAATATGGCTAGCAGAAAGCAGCCTCGAAGATGGTCGAGTGTAATCACTTCTCTCACTACGGAAAGGAAGCTGGGCCGAGGCGAACAAGACAAGCCGCTTAGCAAGCAGGAAAACAAGTAGGCGAAAGAAGAGGTTTAAGTTAATGAGAGCTTGAGAATCTAGTTATTTAGTCAACTTTCTCTTCATAAGGGAATAAGGCGGGTGGGTGAAAAGCCTATAACAACATCAAAATGGAAAAACAAGAGTCTCAGGGACCCAGAAAAAGGATTTTTTGACATGTTTTGTTTCTTACTAGGATGCTTTGAATATTCCACTTCTTTCTATCCTTCCCAGGCCCGGTG